CATCAGTATCACCATCATCATCAATCATCATCAGCATCATCAAGTAAAATATCATCATCATCATCATCATCATCACCACCACCATCATCATCATCATCATCATCATCATCATCATCATCATCATCATCATCATCATCATCATCATCATCATCATCATCATCATCATCATCATCATCATCATCATCATCATCATCGGCATCATCAGAATCATCATCAGCATCATCATCAGCAGCATCATCAGCATCAACATCCTCATCATCAGCAGCAGCAGCATCAGCATCATCAGCATTATCATCATCATCATCATCATCATCATCATCATCATCATCATCATCATCATCATCATCATCCTCAACCTCATCATCATCCTCGTCATCGTCAGCATGATCAGCATGCACATCAGCATCAGCAGCATCATCAGCATCATCAAAAACATCATCGTCGGCAGCATCATCAACGACATCATCATCAGCATCATCATCCACGTCATCAGCATCAGAATCAGCATCATCGGCATCATCATAATCATCATCAGCATCGTCAGCATCAGCATCATCATCATCAGCATCATCATCATCATCATCATCATCGTCAGAAGCATCATCAGCATCATCATCAGCGTCATCACCATCGCCATCAGCATCATCAGCATCATCAGCAGCCGCATCATCACCGTCACCATCACCACCATCTGCGTCAACAGCAACAGCAGCAGCAGCAGCATCATCATCATCATCATCATCATCATCATCATCATCATCGTCAGCATCATCAGCATCGCCATCATCACCACCATCATCAGCATCATCATCGTCATCAGCAGCATCATCAGTATCATTAGCAACATCATCATCATCATAAGCATCATCACCAGTGCAAATCATCAGCAGCATCATCGTCAGCAGTATCATCAGCATCATCATCAGCCTCAGCAGCATCATCAGCCTCAACGTCATCAGCATCAGAATCATCATCGTCATCAGCACCATCATCATCCATCAGCATCGTCATCATTATCAGCAGCATCAACATCATCAGCAGCAGCATCACCATCATCATCCTCAGCAGCACCATCATCGTGGTCAGCATGGGCATCATCAGCATCAGCATCATCATCACCAGCAGCAGCATCATCACTATCTGCATGATCAGCATCAGCATCATTGGTAGCATCATCAGCATTATCAGCATGACACCATCATGGCCTCACCATGACCTTATCATCCGCATCATCAGCAGCAGCAGAAGAAGCATCACCATCATCATCATCATCATCATCATCATCATCATCATCATCATCATCATCGTCATCATCATCATTATCATCATCAGTCGCATCCTTATCCTAATCCTCATCATCACCATCATCGTCATCATCCTCGTCGTCCTCGTCGTCGTGATCCTCGTCGTGTTCGTCGTCCTCGTCGTCCTCGTCGTCATCGTCGTCCTCGTCGCCCTCGTCGTCATCGCCTTCGTCGTCGTCATCAGCATAGCAGCATCATCAGAATCATCAGCATCACCATCATCACCAGCAGCATCATCATCAGCATCAGCATCATCATCAGCATCCGCATCATCAAAATCATCATCATCG